GGGAAAAATTAGGTTACATTGCATGCCACCCCAGAAAAGCTATCAGCTTTTCTATTAAAATTATAAACTAAGTATTGTACACTGATTTTAGAAGGCAGAAATATGTTATGGGCACATTAAAATATGTTATATAGCATGACATAGAATGAGGTAACCTAACATAACCTAATAAAGTCACTCAGTGTGAATGTACTTGCCTTAAATTCTGCTGCCTGTTGCATTATCCTTTCATTGTCCAGACCCCCATAATTATTGTTGCTCTCACAGTCCACTTATAAAAATAAATTACTTTTTCTTTGAAATGGTAGATAATCTTTTTCTGAAGGTAATGACGCCAAAAGTATGAAATTTGATGGAAAACGTATGGAATTCAGCAGGTGCAAAGTTAGTGGTCTTAGTGCAATTTATGCATTGGTGATTTTGCCCACTTCGAGTCCTATTTTAAGCCTGTTCCATTTTCCATTTGACCAAAATCTAGCTTTTTCACTAGTATGCCTTCTTTGAAGGCATATTAGTGAAAGCCACTAGTATGCTTAACTCTTAAATTGTCAAGCCATTGATCAACACACCTCAGATAGCACTCTGCACATTGATCAACACACCTCAGATAGCACTCTGCACATTGATCAACACACCTCAGATAGCACTCTGCACAGTGATCAACACATCTCAGATAGCACTCTGCACAGTGATCAACACATCTCAGATAGCACTCTGCACAGTGATCAACATATCTCAGATAGCACTCTGCACATTGATCAACACACATCAGATAGCACTCTGCACAGTGATCAACATATCTCAGATAGCACTCTGCACATTGATCAACACATCTCAGATAGCACTCTGCACATGGATAACACACTATTTTTCCTGTGTTCAAATTTTGTGCCAGAGGCCTGATTAGCCTAGGCAGTAGAGAATGGGTCTGCACACTCAGTGTGTGCCATATTAAAAAGAAATCTGGGACCACATAGTACCTCGTGTGAACACCAGTTCAGTTGAATGGCAGCTAGAGCAAACAGCATGGCAAACCTCAGGGATTCACTAACTCCCGTCGTATTAGCACACACTTTTTCAAGGAAAGTGACGTTGACCCCGAGTTTAGTGGCTTTGAGGTGGATGTGGCTGCAAGTGATCAAGGAAATACTGAAAAGCTCGATGATAACCCAGATGTCCTTGTGCAACATTTGTTCCACATTCTTTCAATTTTGATGCCACTAGTAGTGGCATCCTGCCAGAATGTCCTATCACTCATGAGTCCCCAATCTCCCGTGACCTCCTTCCTTGCAACAGATTCGTGCTATTGCTTTGAATGTTGCAATTCTCAAACAGGAATACATTCAATAGAAATGACCTGGTATACAAAATCCAGGAAGTGCCTACTTTTATACCTTCAGGAACCTTGTTTTCAATGAGTCCTTGTTTCTGTTCAAGGACGCCTGTTGTTCAAGCAATATATTCAAGCAAATGTAATTGCTTTCTTATAAAACCCTTTGCTGTGTATGACTGGCCTGGTGTTCGATGTCAGTGTCTACATTGGGAGGAAGACACTGGACGATACCAGGAGAATGTTGGGCATTTCCAATGTTCTTGTTTGAAAAATGATGGAGCCATGCCTCTGCAAGGGCCATAAATTGTTCACAGACAACTGGTGTACAAGACTATGCCAACTGATTTGTTCCATGTGAATAATACTGATGGGTGTGGAACAGTGAGAACAAATAGAAAACATATACCAAGGTTCACTGGGGGCATTGCTGATGGTTTGCAATGTGGGTGCCACTGTGTCTGGCACAGTACTTCCAGTAGTTTCATATACTCAGCTTTTCTGAAAACATTGTGGGGACCTATAAATAATTTGTATATATTTGTAGACAATAGCATGTGTCCAAGGCAGGTGGACATGTTCACATGTCAGTGAGTAAATATGTCTGGCTGTTTGATTACTATTTCTGTACCTAATATTAGTGTCAGAACAACCAATGGCTATGAAATCACAAGATCTAATCTCAGATGTAAATATCAGAACACAAATCTATGTGAATTAAAAAAATAATGGAGCATCTAGTACCAAGTTTGCCAGTTTATATCTCTGTAAGTACTGACCCTAATTTTTTTTATTAAAACACTTAGAAAATTAACATCTTTTTTTTTGGGAAAATATTTGGAGCAGGGATGTGTTGATCAACACCATGACAGTTAAAGAGTTTAGATTAAACATAGACTGTTAAGAAGGATTTCTTGTGCAGTTAATTACAATTATATTACAATATTGTACAAATTGTACAATATTGTATGTATAATCTGCAGTTCTGTGAAGTGATTGAATAAAGACGGTGAAGATACAGCAAGTTACTTAGTTACAGTAGAAATAAAATGGAACAAGATGTATAATTAATTTTCTGTGTGAGTTGAAGGAAAACTGGAAGAACAGGACGTTGAAGGAAGAAAGACAGGGACGTTGAAGGAAGACTGGAAGAAGAACAGGGACAGTTGAAGGAAGACTGGAAGAAGAACAGGGACAGTTGAAGGAGACTGGAAGAACAGGGACAGTTGAAGGAAGACTGGAAGAAGAACAGGGACAGTTGAAGGAAGACTGGAAGAAGAACAGGGACAGTTGAAGGAAGACGGGAAAAGGACAAAGCTAAGACAGGGACAGTTGAAGGAAGACTAGAAGAAGAACAGGGATAGAGTTGAAGGAAGACTGGAAGTAGAACAGGGACAGTTGAAGGAAGACTGGAAGAAGAACAGGGACAGTTGAAGGAAGACTGGAAAAAGAACAGGGATAGTTGAAGGAAGACTGGAAGAAGAACATGGGCAGAATTGAAGGAAGACTGGATGAAGAACAGGGACAGTTGAAGGAAGACTGGAAGAAAAGGGGCAGTTAAAGGAAGACTGGAAGAAGAACAGGGACAGAGCTGAAGGAAGACTGGAAGAAGAACAGGGACAGAGCTGAAGGAAGACTGGGAGAAGAACAGGGACAGAGCTGAAGGAAGACTGGAAGAAGAACAGGGACAGAGCTGAAGGAAGACTGGAAGAAGAACAGGGACAGAGCTGAAGGAAGACTGGGAGAAGAACAGGGACAGAGCTGAAGGAAGACTGGAAGAAGAACAGGGACAGAGCTGAAGGAAGACTGGAAGAAGAACAGGGACAGAGCTGAAGGAAGACTGGAAGAAGAACAGGGACAGAGCTGAAGGAAGACTGGAAGAAGAACAGGGATACTATACATGCCAACTATTGTTGCTTGTGTTTATGAAACTCCTCCAAGCAGGGTTATATGCAAAGTGGAGTTTTGCAAGTTTAACACTTGTTTCATGTGTCCATGCATTTCCTTGTTTTTCTGGTGGTGTTAGAATATACATAACACATCTGGGTATATTTCTTCTCAGTGAAAGGTATATGTGTTATATAGTGCTTCAAAGCACACATCACACTACATGGGTGATGATGAATTAGATATGCGTACAACATCTGGGTAAAAATAAATGGTATAAAATACCAACACAATGGAAACATAAACACATATGCAGTTTAATGTGATCCTTTATTGACAACGTTTTGCCCACACAGTGGGCTTTTTCAAGTCACAAACAGATCTACCTGGGGTGGAAGGTACATGAGTATTTATAGTCAGGTTCAGAATGTTGAGGTCAGATGCAGCATTCTCCACCTGAAATCAACATTCTGAACCTGAACTATAAATACTCATGTACCTTCCACCCCAGGTATATCTGTTTGTAACTTGAAAAGCCCACTGTGTGGGTGAAATGTTGTCAATAAAGGATCACATTAAACTGCATATGTATTTATGTTTCCAACATCTGGGTAACTTTATTCTGTAGACATTTCACCAACCATTGGCTTTATCAGTACAGTACAGTAGACTGAAGAAGTAGAAGATGAGATAATCAGTCCCTCGGTCTATGAGCAGGTGTTCAGTACCATAGTCTTGATAAATCTGAAGTACAGTCATGAAGGTATTGAGTGTCACTGGTAGGTGGGATTACCTTGTGGAAGAAGGTCATGCCCTAGAGGTGGGCCAACAATTGTAAGTAGTTATGGAGATGGCCCTCCTTTAGGGCATGACCTACTTCCACTGGGCAATCCCACCTATCATTGGCAATTCTTTCATCTCATCTGACTCCAGTATATAAACTCACTTCTTCCTGCCAGTGCTTCAGATTCATCAACATTACAGTACTGAACACCTGCTCCTGGACTGAGGGACTGATTACCTCATTTCCTACTTCTTTAGTCTTGTGTATTGTATTGACAAAGCCACTAGTTGGCAAAACGTCCACAGAATAAAGATACCCAGATGTTATGCACTTGTATAATTCATCAGCTTGTTGGTATTATATACCACTGATATAAGACATGAGTGTTCACTGTATCTTCAGTGACTGGTTGGTTTAGCAACCATTCCTGGGTGTTTATCTATAATCTGACATGATGTTTTCATTGAATTTGGGTCGGTTGGTCTATTGCCGATCTTGTTTCATTATGTTTCACTCATCCAGTCTTCTGTCTCATCATGACATGCTGAGGCAAGCTTTCATGTTTCTGTGATATGACTTCAGTACTGCTGCCCACTGCTACTACTACTCACTGCTGCTGCCCACTGCTGCTGCTACTCACTGCTGCTGCTACTCACTGCTGCTGCTACTCACTGCTGCTGCTACTCACTCTTGCTGCTACTCACTGCTGCTGCTTTATTACCATACAAGTAATGACAATATCTCTCCAAGACAGGACTCACAGCAGTGGGTTCAAGTTGGAAAAATTTAGACTCAGAAAAGATATAGGAAAGCTCTGGTTTGGTAACAGAGTTGTGGATGAGTGGAATAAACTACCGAGCAATGTCATTAAAGCTAAAACATTGTGTAGTTTTAAAAATAGGTTAGACAAATACGTGAGTGGGTTTGAGTTGGATCTGACTGGCTTCTGCCAGTAGATGACTTGGACCTACCTAGCATGAGCCAGTAGGCCTACTGCAGTGCTCCTCCTTTCTTATGTTCTTATGGTTGTGGTTTCAGGCAGAGAACAAGGCTAGTGCTCTGGAGGAGACCAAGAACTACACCACACAGTCTTTGGCCAGTGTTGCCTACCAGATCAACACTTTAGCTTACAACTTCCTGCAGATGGTTGAACAACAAGCACACCAGCTAGCTGAGATGGAAAGCCAAGTCAACTACATATCACAGGTCAGTGCAACATGCAACATTTGTGCTTCAGGTCAGTGCAACATGCAACATTTGTGCTTCAGGTCAGTGCAACATGCAACATTTGTGCTTCAGGTCAGTGCAACATGCAACATTTGTGCTTCAGGTCAGTGCAATATGTAACATTTATGTTTCACAACAATAATCTTGCATCAGCACAAATGCTTATTGTAATATATGTTTTTAGTTACATTATTATTACAGTGACATTTTCTGCTCTCTTTTAATTTTTGCTTCTGTACTTTTACAGTGTGTATACATTTAGAGGCAGCTATGTATAGTGCATTTAGAGGCAGCTATGTATAGTGCATTTAGAGGCAGCTATGTATAGTGCATTTAGAGGCAGCTGCTATGTATAGTGCATTTAGAGGCAGCTATGTATAGTACATTTAGAGGCAGCTATGTATAGCACATTTAGAGGCAGCTATGTAAAAGCACATTTAGAGGCAAGCTACATATAGTACATTTAAAAGCAGCTATGTATAGTACATTTAGAGGCAGCTATGTATAGCACATTTAGAGGCAGCTATGTATAGCACATTTAGAGGCAGCTACATATAGTACATTTAGAAGCAGCTATGTATAGCACATTTAGAGGCAGCTATGTATAGCACATTTAGAGGCAGCTATGTATAGCACATTTAGAGGCAGCTACATATAGTACATTTAGAAGCAGCTATGTATAGCACATTTAGAGGCAGCTATGTATAGCACATTTAGAGGCAGCTACATATAGTACATTTAGAAGCAGCTATGTATAGCACATTTAGAGGCAGCTACATATAGTACATTTAGAAGCAGCTATGTATAGCACATTTAGAGGCAGCTATGTATAGCACATTTACAGGCAGTTATGTATAGCACATTTTTGATCAAAGATTCTTAACAATGACATTATATGTATTAATGAAGTTTTCCATTTATAATGTATTCCGTACCTTAGTGAAGTTCATTGTTTTGAAGGTGATGGTCTTGGTGAAGTTCCTTTGTTTTGAAGGTGATGGTCTTGGTGAAGTTTCTTTGTTTTGAAGGTGATGTCTTGGTGAAGTTCCTTTGTTTTGAAGGTGATGGTTTTGGGTGAAGTTCATTTTTTTGAAGGTGATGGTCTTGGTGAAGTTCCTTTGTTTTGAAGGTGATGGTCTTGGTGAAGTTCCTTTGTTTTGAAGGTGATGGTCTTGGTGAAGTTCATTGTTTTGAAGGTGATGGTCTTGGTGAAGTTCCTTTGTTTTGAAGGTGATGGTCTTGGTGAAGTTCCTTTGTTTTGAAGGTGATGGTCTTGGTGAAGTTCATTGTTTTGAAGGTGATGGTCTTGGTGAAGTTCCTTTTTTTTTGAAGGTGATGGTCTTGGGAAGTTCCTTTTTTTTGAAGGTGATGGCTTGGTGAAGTTCCTTTGTTTGAAGGTGTTTGGTCTTGGTGAATTTCCCTTTTGTTTTAAAGGTGATGTTCTTGGTGAGTTCATTGTTTTGAAGGTGATGGCTTGGTGAAGTTCCTTTGTTTTGAAGGTGATGGTCTTGGTGAAGTTGCTTTTTTTGAAGGTGAGGGTCTTGGTGAAGTTCATTGTTTTGAAGGTGATGGTCTTGGTGAAGTTCCTTTGTTTTAAAGGGTGATGGTCTTGGTGAAGTTCCTTTGTTTTGAAGGTGATGGTCTTGGTGAAGTTCCTTTGTTTTGAAGGTGATGGTCTTGGTGAAGTTCCTTTGTTTTGAAGGTGATGGTCTTGGTGAAGTTCATTGTTTTGAAGGTGATGGTCTTGGTGAATTTCCTTTGTTTTGAAGGTGATGGTCTTGGTGAAGTTCCTTTGTTTTGAAGGTGATGGTCTTGGTGAAGTTCCTTTGTTTTGAAGGTGATGATGTTGGTGAAGTTCCTTGTTATGAAGGTGATGATCTGAGAGAAGTTCCTTGTTTTCTAATTGTGTGGAGGTTACAAATATGAAAATTACAAGATATAACTATCTGGTTGATGAATCCAACAGATCACAATGAAGAATCCAGGTAAACACCCAGCTAGCTCTCTCACTGATCCTGCAAGCTGATGATCATCTGCTCACACACCAGTTGCACAGCCAGTGAAAACCCAAACTGTGATGCCTGCGCGTAAAACTATAACATCCTCATATAAACATTCACAAGCAGTGTGAAAGCAGTTACTACAAAGGCTATATTTTATTGCCATAGCAATGTTTATAGCTTTAACTTCACATTCAGGACACCCGTTCTTACCTCTTGCAGCCATAAGTAACAAGTCTTTCACCACAATAAAAACTCATCTTAGTAAATACAGTAAATTGTGTGATGAATTCCCAAACAATAGTGCCCCCATATGCAGTATAATGTGATCCTTTATTGACAACGTTTCACCCACACAGTGGGCTTTTTCAAGTCACAAACAGATCTGTTTGTGACTTGAAAAAGCTCACTGTGTGGGCGAAACGTTGTCAATTAAGGATCACATTATACTGCATATGTGTTTATATTTCCATTGTGTCGGTATTTTATACCATTTATTTCCATCAATAGTGCCCCCATTTGTGCCAAGTCAAGAAAGAAGTTTGTAAGGTTATCACTAGCATACAGAGTGCAACTTAATTAAACTCTTGAGTCTAACCCAAAAACTAAAAGTGCATCAGCAGTGAAACATTTACCCTTACAAATTTGTAAGTTATGCTGAGCTTGGATGCAGCAGAGGTTAACCTGATTGGTTACAATAGTTCTACCCCACAAATTTGCAGAGTTGCAGGTGCAGTCATGTGACACAGTTATCCTTTGTGCTATTATTTTGTTTGTTAGTTGAAAGACTGGGAACACAACTTGATAGTAAGTTAGGGTCCCCATGTGTTTTGAATGTTGGTGTTAAGCTCCTGCTTGGAGGTAGATGAGATACCTGTCTCTTGATGCTAGTATCTTCATGACAGATGGTGATGGTGCATAAGGAGAAAGTTGCCCGGCGAGAGATTGGCGTTCTCACTACAAACAAGACCACCGCCCGACAGTACAAGATTTTAGCACCGGCCAACACTGAGAAACCAATTAAATACGTAAGGAAACCAATTGATTTTACAAGTAAGTGCTCCTTTTTCTTGTCCTAAGACTTACCCCACTAATACTACTACATTGACTACCACTACATTACCTCCACTATTACTACCACTACTGTTGCCTCCCTTCACTCTCGTTTCTCTCTTGTGCCACTAAACTACTCTCCCTCTTTTCTACTACCACTGTTATTTCTACTACTTCCACTACCAGCCTTACCACTATCACTACTACTTTTTCTCCCTCAAATGGTCCTGCCCTGTCCCCCTCACTTATATACACCAGCTCCCTCACTCTTTGATGATAATATTTATTTCAGCATGATACAGTGTTTGTACAAAGAAGAATGACATTTGGGTGTACATGCTGAAAGCCCCTATACAGTGGACCCCCGGTTAACGAACTTTTTTCATTCCAGTAGTATGTTCAGGTGCCAGTACTGACCGAATTTTTTCCGATAAGGAATATTGTGAAGTAGATTAGTCAATTTCAGACCCCCAAACATACACGTACAAACGCACTTACATAAATACACTTACATAATTGGTCGCATTTGGAGGTGATCGTTATGCGGGGGTCCACTGTATATGCAGAGCATTTTGGGCAAACTTAAGGTTTAGCACTTAGTTGGATTATATTATTATACTCTATGATTATAATAAAAATTAAAGATGTTTGTGTTGAAGTCATATTGTTTACACAATTATAAGTTAACAAAATTATTATAAACAATTTGTGAAGATTAATAAGGCAATAACAGTAAAGTGTAAATTTAGGAGTTTACAATGAATACAAGAGAATTGAATATTCTGTTAGTTCAAACTACATGGCTTGAACAAGTTAAATTGAGAGGAGTTAAAGGTTTGATTATTAATCTAAAGGGAGGGTTACAGATATTGAGAGTAAGTATATATTGTTTATAATGTTTCACATATGTTCGTGACATTGAGAATATGCATGTATAGTTTTTACATATTTAGCTGATGCTGGGACACATTAGGGAGATAAGGTGCTTTTTAATGGTAGTTTTGAAAATGCTGGCTGAGTCAGTGGTCTGGAGATTTCTGGCAGAGTTTTCTAAATTTTGGGCCCTTTTATGTACATTGAATTTTTGAAGAGAATTAGCCAGACATGGGGAATGTCATAGAGATTTTTGTGCCTAGTATTATGTCTATGGGTCTTGTTGCAACTATCAAGAAAGCACTTCAGGTCGGGATTTATATTAGAATTTATTGTTCCGTAAATGTAGGATGTACAGTAGTAAGAGTGAATGTTTTGTATAGTGAGTAGGTTTAGGTCTTTGAAGAGTGGGGGTGTGTGTTGTCTAGTAATGGACTGTGTGATCATCTACACTGCAGCTTTTTGTTGGGTTATTATTGGCTTTAGATGAGTTGCTATTGTGGATCTCCAGGCACAAATAGCATAGGTGAGGTAGGGGTAGATCAGTGAATAGTATAGTGTAAGTAGTGCTGTTTGTGGTACATAATAACGAATCTTTGAGAAGATGCCAACTATTTTGGATACTTTTTTTTTGTTGTATTGGATATAGGCATTGAATTTCAAGTTGCTGTCAAGGTGCAGACCTAGAAATTTTCCCTTGTTATGTTAAGCAATCAGGGTATTGTTAAGCATAATGTTTAGTTGGACCTCACTTGCTCTGCTCCCAAGCATAATATAGAAGGTTTTGTCAATATTAAGTGTAAATTTATTAGCGGTCATCCAGGTCGATATTTTTACAACAATAGTGCTGAGTGTGGCAAGATTAGGGTGGGAGGTGACAAAAGTTGTGTTGTCAGCAAGGAGAATATGTCTAAGTTGTTGTGATACATTTGGAAGATAGTTGATGTATAAAAGGAAAGTAGGGGCCAGGAATGCTTCCCTGTGGTACACCAGTGTCGAAAGGTCTTGATGTGGAAGTTGTGTCCTTAACCCTTAAACTGTCCAAATGCAGATCTATGTCCACATGTGGGGAAGCTCCGAATGTAGATCAACTTTTTTTTTACATGCTTTCAAATGGGGAAAATCAAAGTCGGAGCTCTATGCACGTGAACGTAGATCTATGTTTGGATAGTTTAAGGGTTAATAGAGACATTTCTGTCTATTAGTAAGGTAAGAATTGATATATGCAAGTGCGTGGCATCTTATATCATAATTGTCAAGTTTGTGGGGTAGGATACTGTGGTCTTCTGTATCAAAAGTTTTCTTAAGGTCGATAAAGAGTCCAAAGGGATATTCATTTTTCTCGAGTGCTGTGTATAGCAAGTCTAGCATTTTTATAATTGTGCTTTTATTTCTCTTGAAGCCAAATTGGCAGGGGTTGAGCATACTTTGTGATGTTATGAAGAAGTTTAATCTCTTGACTATGAGTTTCCTGAAGATTTTGGATAGTAAAGGCAAATTTGATATTGGTGTATAGTGGTTTATATCCGTTGGGTCATCACCTTTGTCTATTGGTGTAACCCTTGCTATCTTGAGTAATGTTGGGAAAGTGCTGGTTCCTAATGATTTGTTAAAGAGTAATGTAATAGTGGGTGAGAGGACATGAGCTGCTTGTTTGTACAATAGTGGTGGGACATGAGCTATATTTTGTAATTTATTTTTTAGTGAATTAATAATCATGGTGACTGCAGTGGGCTTGGTTGGTTCAAGATAGAGGGATGTTGGGAAGTTTCCATTTAGATAATCATTAGCTCAGGTATTAATACCTGGAATTTTACTGGTGAGACTTGATCCTATGGTTGAGAAGAAGTCATTTATCTTGTTAGCTGTATCAATAAGCTGGAGCTGCAGTTCATTTGGTTTAGTTAAGACAATAGTTTTGTTCAGTTTGTAGGTGTCCAGGATCTGAGTGTGTGTCTTCCAGGTCTTTTTTATATCTCCTCTCATTTCGGTGAATATTACAATAGTACAGTTGCTTAGACTTTCTTATTAGTTTGGAGAGGACTGATGTATTGTGTTTAATAAATTCTTTAGTTATTAAGGCCCATCTGTATTGTTTTCATATTGATGTTTCTTATCAGTGGATCTTAAAATGCTGTTAGTAAGCCACAGGCAACCTAGTTTTTTATTAGTGATATGTTTAGTTTCTATGGGACAGTGTTATACATTCTATGTATTTTGTTTTGAAATATGTTTATCCATTCATCATTACCATTGGGATTGGAAAATTCTTTGGGCCAGTCAACTGAATTTAGCTCTGCAGTTAAGTTACTGATGCCTCATCATGGAGTCGAAAAGAGATCTTACTATAGTCCATTGGTTAGTTAGAAATATTTGTTACAAGGAAGGCTGGGTAGTGGTCAGTAGTGTTGTTTGTGATTATTCCTAAATTAAGGGGAGCTGGTATATTTTTCCATATATTTTTCAATTATGGTTGCATTAGTCTTTGTAAGTCTTGTTGGTTTTTGTTATTGCTGGTATGAATAGTGTATTGTTCATACTGTTAATGAAATCAATTACAGGTTGGTCATCTGTTAGGCCAAGGTTGATGTTGAAGTCTCCTGCTAGTAGTAGGTGGTGCTTATTCATTTGATTGTTTGTTATTAGTGTTTTTAGTTTATCACTAAAAGCTGGGATATTAGTATGAGGCATCCTGTATATAGCGCCACTTGTTATAGGGTTGTTGAGGCAATGGTGTTACAACATGATAGTCTTTTAGAATAATAGATGGCAATACCTCTCCCATTTGGTCTAGTGTGACTCTAAATGGTCCAAGTCAGACCAATACATCATCGTAAGCTTCTCTCTCTCCTGTGTGTGGGTTATTTCTGTATAAATGATCATCTTTGAGAGAAGTTATTTTGCTTTCTGAAATTATATGATCATCATTTGAAGAGCAGACTTGAAGGTGACACCTTATGTAGTATAGACTTATAAAACTGTTGTAGAGAGTAGGAAAGTGACTGGTAAAAACTTTCCCAAGTTACTGGTGGAAACTGGATATCCACCTACAGAAAGTGGCCCTAAACCTTCTTATGATTACAGACCCCCAGTGGATTGCCAAACATGTCCCCATACCCCCTTTGCCAGACTGTCAAAATCATCACCACCACCACCAGTATGATGTCAGTAGCTTGCTTTTACTTTACACGTGGAGAGCGAGGAAGAGAACAGCTGATAGTTTATTTTAATCTAATAATAACTTCTTGTAAATTGTTCAGAGATCGAGTCCCATACCCCCAGGGTGTATGGATACCCCCGGTTAAGACCCCTTTATTAAACTGTAGGGGCAGAAGAACCTTGATACTGGTCACAGTTGTGGTTATTATTGACTGTTAATGACAGGTCTACACAGTGGTGGTTGTTACTGACAGTATTAGTGACAGGTCTACACAGTGATGGTTGTTAGTGACAGTATTGGTGACAGGTCTACACTGTGATGGTTGTTAGTGACAGTATTAGTGACAGGTCTACACAGTGGTGGTTGTTACTGACAGTATTAGTGACAGGTCTACACAGTGATGGTTGTTAGTGACAGTATTGGTGACAGGTCTACACAGTGATGGTTGTTAGTGACAGTATTAGTGACAGGTCTACACAGTGATGGTTGTTAGTGACAGTATTAGTGACAGGTCTACACAGTGATGGTTGCTAGTGACAGTATTAGTGACAGGTCTACACAGTGATGGTTGCTAGTGACAGTGTTAGTGACAGGTCTACACAGTGATGGTTGCTAGTGACAGTATTAGTGACAGGTCTACACAGTGATGGTTGCTAGTGACAGTGTTAGTGACAGGTCTACACAGTGATGGTTGCTAGTGACAGTGTTAGCGACAGGTCTACACAGTGATGGTTGCTAGTGACAGTGTTAGTGACAGGTCTACACAGTAGTGGGTTTCACTTATTGTTTGCCATAGTTTAGCATTCTTAGTGACTCAGTATTATGAAAATATAACAGTACAGAAGAAAGGTTGATGTGATAGAAGTGAAAGTGAAGGAATATTATAAGGTACCCTTGTATGAATGATAAGTCATACCTGTATGAATGATAAGATGTACCTGTATGAATGATAAGATGTACCTGTATG